TCAATAGTAAACATTATTAGATATTCCAAACATTACTTTTGGCGTCATATTGTTATGAAATATCAAATATCCGAACTGAAATCCTTATGGCGAAACGTTGCCGCCTTATAAAAATGTCGTAACAATCAGACAATGAGCTTAGAGGTTTGCATAACCAAACTTTCTAAAGGATTTTTCTATATAATTTCCTGTTATGACTTTATAATATAATAGTCATATCAGCATAAATATTAAAAGGAAAAAACTTTGTAAATCTTATTATGTTACTTCTACATTTATTTCGGACTAGCGATTTACTCTCGCTTCGCTCGAGCACGTCCCTAGCAACGTTTTAATTTTTTTGAGGGAAACCATAATTATTTTTCTAAAATATACTTGTATAAAAAATTAAATTAGCAATCTGCCACTGAAAATCCAGTTTCGGAGATTAGCCGAAACAAACAGACAAGAAATTTTCAAGTTGTGTTTTTCTTATAAGTACCGTATATAATTTCATATGCATTTATTGAAAAGGTGTTATTTTGACATTACAAACAGACACTTCAATTTTATTTATCTGTATAGACTTATAGCGACTTCGGACGGGTCCTCTTAGTTGCCTGACAGTTATCACTCTAGGTCAAAATATCCATGAACTTAATTTCATTCTAATCTGCCCAGCCGTTTGACAGTAAAGAAGTAACACACATTCATACACTCATAAACTTTCGCAATTATAATATAGATAATAATATTCTAAGGCAACAGCTGGTTCATCTGGTCCTATTCTGGAGTCAGCTGATGTAGGAAGCCTCAATAGTACACTGCAGTCAACCTAATAATATATAATTTATTTAATGAAGTGCAAAGTGTGCGCGAATGAGAGAAAATGATTTGGTGTTGCAAGACGAAATATTACTAAATATTGTTGCAAACCTATAGAAAAATAATAATAAAAATATGTTAACTTACCATGATAGTATTTCCTTTTAATATAAAAGTAGAAATATAAGTCGTAAATTAGAAAGTTACCTGAAACAAAATTAATATTATAAATACATAATAATACAGGTAATATTTTTTTTTAAAGTACGCAAGTGTCAAATTTTAAACTAACTTTGTCTAGTTGTATTTTCCTTTATACTGTATGTAGTTATCAACGTTTCGAACGTGACAAAATAAATAGAATATGTACATATCAAATAGTTAATATTTACATTTAATTAATCAATAGAAAATCAATTTGAAGAACTTTCTTTTTTTTATAATAATTTTAACATGTCAATTCATTTAAATAGTTATAGGTAATGTTTATGAAGGAAGTGTATTGATTATTGTTGATTAAAACAGTTTTATTTGTGAATAAATTATTATTAATGGTATTAAGGTATTAATAATATAATAAATAGTATTATTTATTATAACGAATTTTAATTAATGTAAAACTATTTTAAACTAAATCTTTGAAAGGACGTTTGTCATTAGTCTGACTTTTGATTCGATTTGGATGATATAAAAGGGACTTATTGTGTGGTTGGGCAGTAGTCTAATATCGACTACAGTACGGACCACTACAATAACCAAGTTAAGTACACTTTTGTTGTTGTTACTATGCTACTTTGAATTGTAAAATTATAAATGTAATTGCTTTAGTTGCTATGATTTATATTTAAGTTATATTAAACTGATTTTAAAATATATAATTATTTTCTTATTTCCTATATAATTACTGCTTAATATGTTCAATAGTTTTCCATGTAAATATATATTGAATAATGAATTCTAAGTATTAAAGATATTACATTAAATTACCCTTTTTATTTTCTTTACATAGTATTTATTTTTAACAATGAAATTTAAAAAGTAGAATTGCTTTGTTATATTTAAACGTAAATTCTCACATCAGAAGTGGGATCCTCTCAGGCTTAATACATTCAATTTTATTATTTACTTTTCAGGATGGACTGTGAAACAATCGGTGAGCTTCTTAAGGCTATCCGGGATGCTGTCTCGACAACGCACCAGAAGGATGATGACATCGCCTTGCCAGTGTTCGACCCAGACCAGAGCGACTGCGGAGCTACGAGCTGGTGCTGCAGTATCGAAACTCTCGCAACGGAAATGAAGTGGAGCAGTATCAAGACAGCAGCTAAAGCCGGTAAGGCCCTTAAGGGATCTGCCTTGAAATGGTTCGAATCCTGGGAACCAGCCGAAGGCAGATCCTGGGAAAAACTTCGTGCTGATATCATTGACGCTTATCCCGAAAAGAAAAACTTGTCCGAAAAGCTTAGTAAGGCCGTTTTATATTCCTCTGACTTGGCGGATTCTTACGGCGAGTACGCTAGAGAAAAGATTCTACTATTTCGTAATACTAAAATCGCGTTTACTGATGAACAATTAATAGAATTAATATGTGGTGGCATTAGTGACGTTGAAGTTAGAATGGCCTCGTTAAATAGTGGCGTTACTACAACCGCTGGTCTCATCTCTCTTCTATCAATATACGTTAAAACTAAAAAGAGGCATTTACAAAATTGTGATTCAGCGCCAGCTGCAAAACGACTTAAATTTAAGGAAGAAAAAAAATGTTTTACTTGTAATCAGGTCGGCCATTTACAGTTCCAATGCTCAAAAAACAAACTAAATCAAACATTAACACGGGTTCCATCTCAAGTTCCACAATTACCTAAAACGAACGAATTTCGTTTGAAAGTTTGTGCCTATTGCAAAAAGATTGGTCATACGGAATCAATTTGCTTCCATAAGCAAAGAGCTGAATCGGCTAACTCTTCTTCAGTAACTGTAGTACCTAATAAGGAAGTCAATTTTTTAGAAAAACCGAACTAAAACTGACTAGAGTTTTAATAAATAATATGCCAGTAGAATCTCTCATAGATACAGGTGCAAATTGTAGTTTAATAAGAGAATCGATTGCAAGAAGGTTAGGGTGCCGCTTATCACCAATATCTGTTTATTTAACTGGAATAGGACAAAATAAAATCCATGCTTTTGCTACTATTACTGTAATTATTCAATGTGAAGGAGTTTGTTTAGAACTTGATATATATGTTGTCAGAGATCAAGATTTTCATTACAATCTACTTATAGGCCGAAACGCTGTTCAATACCCAGACATACAAATCGTTACAGATTCATTAGGCAGTCGTTTATTTAGAAAGAAAATTGAAACTGAGACAGAAGTAAATGTATGTTCTGAAGTAGCTAAATTAAGTGAATTAATTTTAAAAATAGAACATTTAAATTTGGAATTGCAGGAAAAAATAAAAAATATTTTTAATAAACATGCTTCTGTCTTGGATGAAACTAGTACAGTAAAAACCGGTGAACTGAAATTACGCTTAGTTAAAAATGAAGTTGTTTACTATCGACCCTATCGCTTGGCTCCGATTGAGAGGGAGAAAGTTAATGAAATTATTCAAGAACTTTTGAAGCAAAAAATAATTCGTGAAAGTGATTCCCCCTTTGCAAACCCAGTAATTCTAGTAAAGAAAAAAGATGGCAGTGATAGGTTATGTATAGATTACCGAGCACTAAATAAAATTTTGGAAAAAGATAGATTCCCACTCCCTCTCATCGAAGACCAGATAGATAGATTAGGTAAAGCTAGATATTTCATATCCATAGATATGAAAAATGGATTTTATCAAATTCCAGTTGCATCAGATTCCATAAAGTACACGGCTTTTGTGACACCAGATGGCCATTACGAATTTTTGAAGATGCCGTTTGGTATTTGTAATGGTCCATCTGTATTTCAAAGGGCTATCACAAAAGCTGTGCAACACCTTAAATTTCTTTTGGTATATATTGATGATATTCTCATTCCATTTACAACAATAGAAGAAGGTCTGTACTATTTAGAGGAAACTGTTCAGGCATTATGCAACGCAGGTTTTACAATTAATCTTAAAAAGTGTAAATTTTTCGTTGATAGTATAGAATATTTAGGTCGTACTATATCACAAGAAGGTGTAAGGCCCAGTGGGACAAAAGTAGCTGCCCTAGTCAACTCTGCTGTCCCGAATAATGTTAAGCAAGTACGGCAGTTTATGGGACTTGCGAGCTATTTTCGTAAATTTATTCCAAATTTTGCATCTCGGACTGCTTGTATAACTAATTTGACAAAAAATAACAAAAAATGGGAGTGGGGAGTTGAACAGGATGCGGCTAGGGACTATATCATAAAACATTTGTCCACCAAACCACTGTTAACAGTATTTGATCCAAAATTACCAACAGAACTTTATACAGACGCTAGTTCATTGGGCTATGGAGCCATTCTTGTACAAAGAGTTGATAATACCAAAAAGGTTGTAGCGTACTTTAGTAAAAGAACGTCACCTGCAGAATCTAAGTATTGTTCATATGATTTAGAAACTTTAGCTATCTATAATGCATTAAAACATTTTAGAGTATATCTTTTGGGTCTTAAATTCAAAATTTTTACAGACTGTAATTCCATTAAGGCTACCATTAATAAAAAAGATCTTACTCCTCGCGTTGCTCGTTGGTGGACGTTTCTTCAAGATTTTGATTTCGAAATTGTCTATAAAAAAGGGAAGTACATAAGTCACGTAGACTACCTTAGTCGTAATCCTGTAGAATCCATCAAGTCCATTATCCCTACTGCATTAGTAACTAATTCTATTCCACACAAATCTGTTACGATATCAAGCAATCTAAAATTATCCAATGATCACAAAAACAATAAAATAACAAACCTTCATTTGGTTGAAGACCAATCTTGGTTAGAAATTGCCCAGCAAAATGATCCGGAAACACAAAATTTAATTGGTCAGGTCATATCCGGTGAACTTGATGAAAATCGATATTTTTTAAAGGATAATTTATTGTTTTATAAAACCCAGCCTAACGAACCAAAATTGTATGTGCCAAAAGGATCTAGGTTTTCCCTCTTAAAGCTTTTCCATGATCAGAACTGTCATGTAGGATTCTATAAGACATTGAAAAAACTTAATGAACACTTTTGGTTTCCTCGAATGGCTGCCTTTGTCCGAAAATATTTAAAACATTGTTTAATATGTCTCGAACGAAAAGGTCACTCTGGTCCGAAACAAGGTTTCTTACATCCTATTGACAAAACTCCTTTACCCTTCCACATCGTTCATTTAGATTGTACAGGGCCATTTCAACGAACAGATGAAGGATATAAATACATTTTACTTATGGTGGACGGTTTCACTAAATTTTGTTTACTAAAACCCCTCAAAACCCTTAATGCCCAAGAACTTATTCCAATAATTCGGGATACTATAACTATATTCGGCACTCCATCAATAGTTATAACTGATAGAGGTACTAATTTTAGTTCTAATCAAATTCGATCTTTATTTAGAGAGCTAGAAATAGACCATCATATGGTTGCCACCGGCACGCCAAGAGGTAATGGCCAGGTAGAACGATATATTACTACTGTGATCGATATGTTAAATACCACGTGTAATGGTTCGTCAGATTGGCCGAGCGGATTGTGGAAAGTCCAACAGTCTATCAATACCACAATTCAAAAATCTACGGGTTTTACACCTATCCGATTGCTTATTGGTTGTAATGCAAATATCCCTTGTATTCAAGCCCATTTAAACGACGTTTCTGTTACCGAGTGTACCATGGATGTACGCGCAGATCGTCAACTAGCTTACCAGCGATTATGTGAACTGGCAAATAAATTTAAAACTCGATTTGATAGTGTAAGGCGAGACAATAAAACTTTTGAGGTTGGAAACATAGTTTATGTAAACCAAGATCATAGGCGACATGACAAATTGAGCCCAAGGTTTAAAGGTCCATATGAAATAATTGAAATTCTTAACAATGATAGATATTATCTTAGAGGAATAGGAAATTTAAGGAACATAATTATAGCAAAAGACAAATTAAGGTTATGGTCAGGTGAATGGGTAGATCCTGATTCAAGTATAACAGATGGATAAATTGTAGTTTAAAAAATATTATTTTGTTTAATTTATACTTAAAGAAATGTTTGAATATAATTATGTATGATAAGTAAATAATATTATATATCAATTATGTCTAAGTATGTGAGAATGTAATAACTGTGTGTGTATTTTTTTGATTTAAAATGATGTATGGCATATATAAATGAATTATGTGATTGTTTTATGTATATGGAAGATGAAGATTAAATTTGGTTGGCCTGAACTGCTGAAGTCTTTTGCTTTGTTCTAGCCTGTCTCATGTGCAGCAGGTGTGGGGCTAGATAAAATTGTTGTCAAAGCAATTGACCGTTGTTATGTTGTCCTCTTAATGTGAGAAGTGAGACAATAACAATGATAAGATGTATTAGTTTGTAAGTTGCTTAATTTTTATGTAACAAATGTGTAGTTGTACTTCGAGAACGAAGTACATGTCAGTATGGCCGTGACAAAATAAATAGAATATGTACATATCAAATAGTTAATATTTACATTTAATTAATCAATAGAAAATCAATTTGAAGAACTTTCTTTTTTTTATAATAATTTTAACATGTCAATTCATTTAAATAGTTATAGGTAATGTTTATGAAGGAAGTGTATTGATTATTGTTGATTAAAACAGTTTTATTTGTGAATAAATTATTATTAATGGTATTAAGGTATTAATAATATAATAAATAGTATTATTTATTATAACGAATTTTAATTAATGTAAAACTATTTTAAACTAAATCTTTGAAAGGACGTTTGTCATTAGTCTGACTTTTGATTCGATTTGGATGATATAAAAGGGACTTATTGTGTGGTTGGGCAGTAGTCTAATATCGACTACAGTACGGACCACTACAATAACCAAGTTAAGTACACTTTTGTTGTTGTTACTATGCTACTTTGAATTGTAAAATTATAAATGTAATTGCTTTAGTTGCTATGATTTATATTTAAGTTATATTAAACTGATTTTAAAATATATAATTATTTTCTTATTTCCTATATAATTACTGCTTAATATGTTGAATAGTTTTCCATGTAAATATATATTGAATAATAAATTCTAAGTATTAAAGATATTACATTAAATTACCCTTTTTATTTTCTTTACATAGTATTTATTTTTAACAATGAAATTTAAAAAGTAGAATTGCTTTGTTATATTTAAACGTAAATTCTCACAAACGCTTAACAGCAAGGCAGTATCGGAAGAGACTAAGGTTTTCGACAAAATTAGAATTTTTATTTTGTGTTTTCAACCAAAATATTGTTAAATTTTTGTAGGTACCATCTGTAATTACTTTTAATATACAGCTAAGCTTAGTATAAATCAAGTAAAAATATTATTTATTTAAGTTCACGTGCTCTTGGGTAAGGCGGAGTCATGCTTATTCAGTGCCATTCATTAATAAAAACATACATAAAGGAGCAGGCGTGAGCTACTTCTGACGAGATAAATTAGAATATATTTAATTAACAAAGTTACCATATTACTTCGTCGGTCCCTGAATTATTACTTATTCTCGTTCATTTCGTGACCTCGTGAGACATATTTGACAATATCTTATGGTGAACATTGTTACGTATATTTTTAATGTTGTAACGATAAGTACAAGATTAGAGTGACTTTTCCAATATTATTCTACAATCGTAAAGCTTATAGATTACTTAAAAATATATAAGATTGGCATATTAGGTTTTTATATACTTAGAGAGAGCCTAAATATGTTGTTCTCATAATTTTTTTAATTAGTTTGGATAGTTATTTTTTCGTTTTTATTGAATATAAAGGAAAATAAAAATTAATGTTTTTAATAAAAATAGCGTTAATCTAAGAAAATATCTAGATTGGGGCTTTAATTTATTTCATGAATAAATTTAATCACATGATTTTTTAATTAATAGTTATGTCCTCCTTATCGATTTCGACCACTGCGGCTAATCTCAGTGAGGCTAGCCAGATGCCCAGGAGATATTATAATGCGCAAGTTTACGCGCAGACATACATAAGTGCACTCTCTATTCTTTTTTCTCTCAAGGTCCGATGAGACGATACTTCAACACGACCGATGAGAGTGACGCAGCAATGACTGCTTTACGTGCTCTCTGAGGCACGGAGCTGAAACGCTGAAACTTGATAGAAATACTCAATATCTGAACTTGGCCCGACCCGGGACTCGAACCTAGGATCTCCGGATCTGCGACCTAACATGCTAGCCATGCTAGCCTTTTCAATTATCAGATATCTCAAACAAAAATATAAGTAGTTTAGTGTGTTCGTCGTTACATTGTAAGAGAAAAAGTTTGCTCGATTCACATTCGCAATTATTTTACATTGTAATAATATTTCGAAGATACAGCTAAGTGTTTTTCAGTTTTTTAGCTAAGAAACTAGATTTTCTTTAAAGCACTTTTTAATAGTTCTCCTTAGAAACGATTTGTCACTGTCTTTTGGGAGTCAAGGACTATTATTTTGTGAATCTTGAAGCACATCTCTTAAAGCTCTACCATTCGGTAGAGCTGTATTGACATGTAATATTTCTTACTAACGTAACGTTTTATTTTATTCATCCATTTACACTATCGTTAAATGTAAGTGTTGTCTTTTTACTAAATGCCATAATAAAATGTTTTATTTTGTTGGGACACACACATCATCATCATCTAGTGCCATGGTAAGCCACGAGGCTTGTGTTACGGATACCAGATAGTTGATACACTACACATATATAACATTAAATACATACATATTATAAATATAAACACCTGACTGGATATAAACATTGATGCCATGAATGAATGCCACCAGCGGGACTCGAACCCGCGACTGCTGGCACAGCAAGTAGGGTCTCTACTAAGCCAAACGTGTTTTAAACTGTGAATAAAAGTGTAAAAATATTAAGTGATTAAAGATTTTAAAATATTAAAATAATCCAATAATATCATTAGAGACATTTAATCATGCTAAATAAAGATTAAGGAAATAAACAATTGAAATTCTAAAAATTTGCAATTATTATTTAAGTGTAATTTCATTTTAGACTTAGAAATAACTTAATACATATATATGATATATTATCTGTCTGCAACGTGTGTGTGGTTTGCACTTCGCATCAACTTTTACACGGCGATTTATTTTCGAATATAGTTTAATATAAGTTATTAAACTGAATCGCTTGTTATCGTACCATTCAACAATGTTGTAAGTTGAATCGAATAGAACTGGTGTCAAAGAATGAATGTTTTTTTTTTAAATAAAACTATCTTTTCGGATTTTGTTGCGCATTTATTTGCATTTTTGTTTCCCGACGTTTCGAATGCTTTACAGCATCCATGGTCACGGGAGAGACTGAGGTGTTACATGTCTCGAAGGTATAGTTGTTACAGACAGCCTACCCACAATTAAAAGAATAGAAAAGATAGTTTTATTTAAAATGTCAAATATTCGCTTAAATCTAAGAAAGTATTATTAGAATGAATGATATTAACGTTTGAAGTTCATTTTAGATTTTATTTAGGTTGCGATTGAGTCGCAATAAGAGTTGATAATAGACCCTCTGCTTTGTCTCCCCGTTTGACACAATAGACTAACGATTTCTAAGCATCAATTCCAAACGAAACTTGCAAATTGTCGGCACAGTTTGCGCAGCTGAGGATCGCAGATAACAAGCCATTACTGCACTCTTTGCTTGCCTATTATATACATAGATAGTACGAAATATTTTTAGCTTAAATATATAATAGATATATTATAATAAATTGTACATAAAAATAAATTACATGCTCATTTACTGTATTAAGAAACCCAAGCAAGCCCTAAGGTTAAATTAAGAATAGCAATTTAAGGTCGTTGTACCGTTCCACCTCCTAGCACTAGATTACTTATTTTTAGCTGTTAGATAGTATATAATTATCGTTTTTTTCATTCGAATCATACCGATCGATACGACAATTAAAAGGCACACATACTGCTAGTCTATACTATTATTATAAAGAGGTAAAGTTTGTGAGTTTGTGAGATTGTGAGTTTGTGACGTTGTAGGGGGGTAATCTCTGGATCTACTGAACCGATTTAGATGAAATTTGGTAAGAAGATAGTTTGATGTCCCAGTTCACTGGGAAGGATATAGGATATTTTTTATTCCGGAAATAATTACTCAAGGGGATGAAAATGGGGATGTTGTAATGAAAGTTTGCATGGAGAATCAAGCTAGGGACGAACCCGAGCGAAGCGAGGGCGAGTCGCTAATAATTAACAACCTTCGAGCAATAGCAAGCAAGCATACGTGTTATTGCTCGAAGTTAATAAATAATTAAATAAAAAAATCAGAAAGATAGCTTAAAATATATGTTACCTAATCTTTTCTATAAAAGTATATCATATACTACATATTTATCGTATAATAAAAGATGGTAAATTCGTAATAACGTCGACATATTAAAATGATTTTAAAAATTTCATTAATTTAAACGATATTGATAAAAAATAAAATGTTCCTTTATCAATCTCTCACATGCGTAAAAACCGTTAAAGCCATAACGGACCATCAATCAATTTGAATGATCGGCATATAAAAAGGAAGTATTTTCAAACTTTAGCTGTTAGAAAATAGATCTCGTTTGGATGATATTTGAAAAATATCAAAATATTTTTTTTACGCTAAAGTGATGCCCAAATTTGAGCTTTTCTCCTTTTTCTTATCTGATATATAACGTAAAATAAATAATTATTATACCCTCAAGTACAGTAACGAATACACACTTATAATTACAAGATGGCGCACGCTTAAAATGGAAATGAGTACGCCATCAATCAGCAAAAATATGTAAATACATTTCGTTGCACATATTTAACAGCGCTTTGATCTCTTTACGAAATAAGATCTTCGACGAATAAATACTAAATTATAATCTGAATGTAAACCAGTTTAAAATAAATGTTGAACCGTAAACAATATGATAGCTTTAAACTTTGATAGTCACTGACATGGTGCTTATAA